ATTTGTCGAATATCAGCGCAAAATTCTTAGCTGCTTTCACAACAGAGCAACTGGAAAAGCAGCTCTTGGATTGATTTCCTCCCTCATCCGACGCAGGTTGAAGATTTCTGACAAAGACATATGGAGGAGAGAAATGCACAACAGCAGGTGGTCCAGTCTCCAGTCTGAGATGTTTTCACTTGATTGTTTCAGACAACATGCACCTTCAGATGAGCAATGTATGCAGTGTTCGCAGGCAGGTGGGCGCACTGATTCAGCTCAAACACAAACTCAGCAGAAGGCAATGAGTCTCTGCTGCAACGCAAATGGCCCAGTAGCTTTCTGCTTCAAAGAATCATGGGCTAAAGTTGACAATTTCTGATATTGTCAACTGAAAAAAATGCAGGGCTTTCTTTCAAAACAGGCAAATTCCTTGGATTCCAAGTTTTATTTCTGCATCTTAATTTCGCCTCAGTTACTGTCTCCTCAACTCAGCAGATCTTTGAGAAATGGTGTCTTTCACCTTCACTCCATTTGGACTTGTGGAGAGACACTGTCTGGGCTTTGGCAGATGGACTGATAGCCAGCTCTGTGGAATGGCAGCTGTTAAAGGGCTTTTTAAATTGCACCCAGGTTGATGGGTGCCTGTCAGCAGGCCAACGGACAGAATTCGGAAAAGAAGAGGGAGAAAAAGCAGAAATCGGGGAGGTAAGGGTGAAGCAGAGTGGAGATGGAGGACAGTGACCCTTGCACCAAAGGATATAGAAGAAAAATGTTTGTGAAAAGGTGAAAGTACAAATGCAAAAATATCATAATTGGATTATTGGACTCGATCTGGCAAATTACAATACTGCCATTAAAGCTGGTTCTCCATTTGCCAGCTTTAATGTTCCCCAAACTACAAATGCATTAAAAATAGTAACTTGTCTAATCGATTATTAAAACCACAGTAAAAAGGTAGAAATCACCTTTAAAAGCATTGGGTTTAGAAATTTTGTACCCGCAATGTCAAAAAATATCTGCCTACATGCAGATTTTTTTTTACCATTCAAATGATTTAAAACAATGTCAACAGCCGACAGACAAACCAAGTAAAACTATGAACCACATTATATATATTTAATAAATTGGTAACCAAATCAATTTGTCCCATGTCAAAATACAATAGCCCCTAACTTGCACATCATGAGTAAACTGTTGATAATAAAGTCTTTTTTCACTTTCACTTGCCACATTCATGTCTGAGTTAATAAATAAAAATGATCACCTATTTGGACCTTTCTGGATGGTTACAACCTAATGTGGAGGAAAAGTATTTCAATATGTCCCTTTCTTTATTTTTACAATTTCTCTGTTTAGTATTTTGGCCACACCATAGGAAGATGGTTGCCTACATGTGCTGGGGTAGACTTGCTCTGTAAAAGGGATATCTAAAGACGGTTTCCTATTTGCATGACAGACTTTATTAAATCAAGACTGCATCCAGCATCAAAGTAGGCAAACCACAACAATGTAATGGAAACTTGTTTCATGCGTCTACTACTACTTCAACATCTCAGATCCTCAAACATTGTTGTGTTAGTGTGATGGTCTGGAGCTGCTTTGCTGCTTTAGGACATGACGTGGTGTAGTTAATGGAACCATGAATATTGCGATTGGAACATCTTTTGGCTATCGGTTGGTATCCTTAAGTTCATGTCATGTAGCAGGACTAATTGCTAATTGCTGCTGCCGAGGTCGGCACAATTTATTAGTCTTTGGGGGGGAAATTATGTAATCATAATTTACAATCTTTTGTAAATTAACGACCGTAAAAAAGTAAACAAACATCTTACGCCATCTTTCCAGGTTTACAATTGAAGTTTGCATGTAAATAATGCTGACGCTAGACTCTTTATGTTGAAAGGCAGTTAGCTTAGCTTTGGCATGTTTATTGTTTGACTTGATGGCAATGAAATGAAATGTTAGTCATACATCACATTTTCCTAATGAGCTCTTTTTTTGTTCATAACTTGAAAGCCGCTTAACATCTGAGAAGTTTGGCTAGTTAGCTGAGGTGTTTTCCACCACTAATGCATGCTAGCACAAGCTTAAATTAGCACACTAAGTTAAGCTTTAGTCTTAGCAGGTCTGGTGCTAGCATGCTCTTCAGGCTCACTCTGCAGCACATTTTTGTCTACTTTTAGCAATGGTGTTCAGTTTCTGTGTACTATTTATACTATTGTGTCAAAAATTTCCAAGGCATCTTATTGCAGATTCTATTTACTCAAATTGAAATTCTACTGATTTCATAGTTGCAATTTGCAATGTGGAAAAATTGCTTTATGTTATTAATGTTGCAGGGGAACACTGTTGTTGCCTTGTAATGCTTCTCTTTCAGCCTGACTGCCTAATACTGCCTTGCTGTGGTTGTGCTGTGCAACAGATGGCGTTCTAAGAAGGTCATCATGTCTGTTTCAACAGTTGCTGCACACCCTGGCAGCATTATTAGGGGCTATTTAGAGCATAATGTACTGTCAAGGTGTTGTCAAACAGCAGCTGAATAAATGTAGCCCTTGTTAGGAATCTTCTTAACTTGCTGAAGATCCCTTTGAAAGTTTATGATCTGTTCACAGTGAAAAAAACTAATTATTTGGAAATGATTCAAAAGTCTTTTTTTAATTTTACTGGTCAAGTTCTCTATTTCTGGAGGCTCTCAGTATTATCTGACACCTCGCGACACCAGCAACATAAAAAAGGTTCATCATTGTTATTTCGTTTTTGTTTGTTTTTTCCCGCTTTTTCCAGGGATTTTATTATTCATGTTGTACTTGATTTCTCACTTGCTTGGAAAATCGAAGCTGAAAATAATTTTCCACAAACACTCACATAGTATGCCTAAAAAAACAAATTGTTTGGCCTCTTTATGTTGAAAAAAACCTAACTCCATAAGGTCTTGAAAGAACTAGTGTGGCTACGTTAAGGCCGGTTATTAAACATAAATCTACAAAAGGTGGCTGGACCTCTCCCTTATTGCACACTGATTGCTGCGGTACAACTATTAATCATTTTCTGCATTCCCCACGGGTCAAAAAACCCTCTTTAGCAGAGGGATGGATCAGACACTGCAGGACTGGCAATTATCTGAATCCAAATTCTCTGTGGTGTTCTGCTCTCTCATTTGCTTCTTTTCAAATTATGTTTACATTGGACTCCACTAATGGAAGATGTGACTAATGCTGTGCATCATCCAAAACTGCTATCATTATTATTATTATTATTGTGTCTCGATAAGTTGTGATAAAAGTCACTTTTTGCTCAGTGTGTAACAGTCAAACTAATATTGACCTTTGATGATTGCGACAAGTGTTTCTCATATTTTCTATTTTTGAATGTGCACAACATCCTGCACAAGTAATTTTTCTCCATTGCTAATGTTCAGCATTTTTTTATAACTGCAAACTTAAAGGTATTTAAAAAAAAAATTTTCTTATAAAGAAAAAAAAAAGTTGAATTGTGAAGTGGAAGGAAAAATCTGATCAGACCAAAATTTTAACTTCATGGCCATCATGCAAAATTAGTTTTGGAAAACAAACGCTATACATAAAGCCTGAACAAACTTTCTGAAAGATTTTGTCAGAAGTATCATGCTGTGCGACTGCTTTTCCTTAAAAGTGGGAACTAAGCTGGTCAGAGGTGAGGAGAATATAGATCTTACAAATGCTTCCCAAAAATGAGGGGAAACATTCCCATCGCTTTTGGGAATGCCTCTTGTTGGTGTGGACAGTAAAGTTGTCAGAGTTGATGGATCTTTAGTACAAAGCAAGAAGGTGGATCAAAAAAAAAAGATAATTGCAATTCAGAAGGAAAAAAAAAACAGGCAGCATCATAATACCATGGAAATACTATTTTTTTCACGAGTGACGGGGAGATTGGCCTTCACCATCCAGCAGGATATCAAACTCCACACATACAGAGAGCAATAAGTTTCACAAAGTATTCACTTTGCAAATGAAGACAAATGCAAACCACAATCATCACATTTTTATTTTGAAAAGGCCCTCCCAAACTAGAAATATTTTTATCAATTTTCTTCGCCTTCACAATTATGCACTATTCTGTGTTGGTATATCACATAAAATCCCAATTAAAACACACTGAAATTTGTGGTATAATGTGACAAAATGTGAAGAAGGTCAAAGGGTGGGAATACTTTTGCGAGGTAAAATATAATTTATGTTCTTTCAAACTATCGCCAAGCCCAGGCATTGCACAGCTGTGTAGCTATCAAACCAAAGCTGTTTAGTCTCAGTAACTATGATATAGTGTGCATATAAACCAAGAATAAATCCCCCCTTCAGCATTATGACATCAACTGTTCAACCACTCAGCCTCTACACTCTGCAATCATATTTCTCTGCCAGAATCAATTTTGTCAATAACAACCACTGGCAAGCTTGAATTTTATGTTGTGGTCTGAAAAAATAAATACGGCAAAGTTGCGTAGCATTGACATATTCTGCTCATCATTGTCACTTTGGTTTGCTTTCCCTTTTTTCTTACTTAGCTCTGAATCTGTTGGTACTCGGACATGTCATGCGTGTAATCGTCATGATATTCTTCCAGTTGATCTTTAATTGTTTCAGGCAACCTTTCAGTGTGACGTTAACCAAGAAGTTCTCCTTCCTGTTTCTAACTTTCTAATTTCTACTTAATGAAATCTGCTGGAAACGTTCAACCAGTGACTGGATGTCTGTGCCAAAGACTGAATTTTTGAAACAGACTGGAAAATTACAAAGCTTTAAGTGTCAGACACACAAGCCTGCCAAATGTAATCAGTGGGTAATAAATGTTTGCCCTTTAACATGGTAAGAGTCTGGAACAGTAGTGCATCAGTGCAAGGCAACAAATCATTCTGTCGGTCTGGGTTTTACAGTCAATCCATTATGAACCTTTTCCAATAAGTAGCATTAGTTTATAGTTTATGTTTTTTATTCTGTGTTAGACCTTCATCTAATGTTTTGTGTTTTCTCATCTTACAGCTCATGCTCTGCCGGGAAGTTTGCTTGAGTGGTGAAAGGTACGTTTTCTAATGGAAGATTTTCTGCTGTTCAGCAAATGAAGTTTCCATTTCTTTATTAGTCTGATTGTTGTCTTAATGCTGGTGGCACCAAAATGGAAACTGAAGAAGTGAGACTGTTGGGGCCTTGAATTTTGGTCTCCTTGCTGCTTAATTAATGTGATCTCTGAGCCCAGGAGGCACTGCTTTGGAAAGGCTTTCTTTGCTGTGTCTGGCAGAATTAAACAGCATCACCTGCGCTGTTCCTGGTGCTGTAATGGATTTTGAACTTATTGGATTGCAAATAACACTCGAAGTGTGCACGAGAGCAATGACACAGTATTGATATTTGTGCGTTTGTTAAGTGATTGTTGACAGTAATATCGCTAAGTACACAGTGAGGGAGTCTTCTGAAATAGATTTTCGAGTTAGAAAATCTATTTCTAACTCAAAATAGATTTTGTCAGACATCTGATCTTATGTCAAGATGACTCAGTTTCTCATAAACCACAGTTGTGACATACCAGTGGTACTTTAATAAACTTAAAAATGCAGGAGTTTCTTTTATTAACAATATTGGAAGTTATTTCCACCTAATCTCATTTGCCTGGGATTGAAATTTGACAGAACCTCCTCTTAAGTTCAGAAATAGCCACAGCTTGTTGCATATTCTGTGATTGTATAGATGGTAATGCAGTTGATGTATATTGTAAATGTAATCTGGGGGACAATTTATATCCTGGTTTAAACTGGTGGTGTCAATCGATTAAAAACTTTAATTGGTAGACTTGAAAGGATTGGTTTTCCCCTCCTCCTGCCATGTTCCAAGCAATTAAAATAAAATCAAATGTTAGATTTTTATGTAATTTTTATGTTTTTGCAGCAAAATGCAGATCATTTCTGTACTTGAATAATTAAGGATTTCATTAATCATGGCACCAGTGATTTCGTTAAAAAAAACAACAACAAAATAATCAAATTTTGGCCCTGTTGAATAAAACAATTTATAGGTATAATTTTTCTTACACTTTTTTGTTACTGAATCAATTATGCAATACTTAATTACATAATACAAATGCCAGCAAAGGCTTTGATTTAGGAATAAATGCCTTGGATTTAAAATGACAAAAAAAAAAAAAAAAAACACTTGAGGTTGTACTTGATTTAAAAGGCATGCTGTCATTGGTTTTACACGGATGTGAATTAAACTATTTCGTCAACGCTTGCGAAAAATGCTTTTAATTAAAATAAAGATTTTAATTAAAGCATTCGGAATAACATTCGAGACTGCTCCTACCACTTCAGATGTTTACAGTTTAAAGTTAATTAGCTTGCTGAGTTCAGGAAGCTACGCCACATCACAAAGTCAACTATAGACCATAAACTCCACACCGGCCGGGTTTCTCAGATCGCTGCTTTATTTTTCTTTATTTTATTTTTCCACTCGCTGCCTTTGAGGCTGCTATCTTTACAATCCAGCTCCGAGTTTCAATGGATGACTCACCAACTTCACCACGTCCAGCTGTGAGATGTTCCCCCAGCCCTCACCCTCATTTTCAGAAATATATTCTCCACCTGGAGCTAACATCAGTAAAATCTCCTCTGTCATAAAAAACATTTGCTTTCATCAAAGCGATTTAGAAGACAATGGCATGTGAAAAAAGACAAAAAAAAAAAAACATTCTGATGGAGAAACATCAATTGACGTGCAGGAGAGTTTGAGGATTGCTTCAGGCAACAACAAGACAAGTAAAATCTGTTTTTTGTTTTTTTCTGTCTTGGCTGATTACCATATTACCATACATTAAACTAGTGGATGTAATTGCTTCCTCTTCATCCCAGAAAATGACTTTAGGATGCAAAGTGTTCCCTTTTTTCCCTGTTACTGTATACTGAAAGCATCTTGCCAGAATACACTTTTAACCTTTTTTTGTAAACTACTAAAATAAGAAATTTAGCATAAGAAAATAAGTAAAACCTATTTCAAAAGTCTTACAGTCATAAGCTTCCTTATTAACATTTTTTCATCTAATAGGGTTGTTATAGATGTAACTGCTTTTTTCTACTGTCTCCTTGTTTCTGCTGATCATGATTTGGGAACAGTTTATAGCCTTGGGACATAATTATGATAAACCTTGGACATGAACTGTTAGTCAGCATCACTTTCACTCCGTTATCCTCTTCCTGCTTTGAGCGCTTAGGAAGTCTGCGTCTGAGGGAGAACATCTCTAGTAGATACTTTACTGTGTAGATTCAGACTTTGCATAGAGCCAGTGATCATATAGTTTAGGGACAACAACTGCCCCAAAACACCTAATACTTAACACTCTGAATACTTAAGACCCCATCCACCTCACACCACCCCAAAGAAACGCTTTAACAGTTAAAACACCGAATATACCTTAGAAGTCATTGAAATGCTCTGTGGAAACTGTCTTAGCATAATCACAACAGCTAAAATATAATTGTATTGGCCTCAAAAATGTCTTGTCTTGTTTGTAATTTTAATTTGAAACATATACTTGTTGCACTGCTCTGACACAAGCTTCAAATAGCTGGAAAATACAAGAACAGTATGACTAACTGTAATTACCCTTTCACCTCGACACTAGTAACCCGTCCACGACTAAAGTAAAATATATTTAAGCTATTTGAGGGACACCCCAACCCTGTTGGCAGCTTTAATTATAATTGTTTTACATCTACACTACAGTTTCATTCAAAATTATGGGAAGGCACTCTGTGTGTTTCATGGATTTGAAAGTAAAACACCTTTAATTTTCAGTTGGAAAATAATTGGTCTTTTTTTGAAAAAAAAAATAAAATAAAAATAAGAGGAACTTTTGCAAGAAATTGCATCAAGCAATTTTCTGTATTGTTGTTGTTCAGCTTGTGTCTTTGCAAGGCAGGTTTGCAGAGGGTTTTCTCCACCTATAGGCAGAACATGTGAGGGCAGATGAAAGCAGCTTTGAGGATGTTGCCCACGACTGGGAGGAACAGATCTTCCTCCACCACCTTTCTCTTTCTGATCTCCATTTCCCCTCCCTTCTTCATCCCTGTTTTTTTTTTCTAACCTCTCCTATTCCACTGCCACTCTACCTCGCTATCTCCTCTTGCCTGCCTCTCCCCTCCTTCTGTTGTTTGCCTATCCAATTTTCCCTGCACATCCAGCCCACTCCTTCTCCTCAGCCACTGCTGTCTCCATGCCGGTTCTCATCTCAAACTGCTCTGCTCCCTGTACTTACACACACGTCTACATGTACATGTATGTAATATATATTTATTTTTCTCTTTTTTCCCATTAATTCTCAAGTTCTTATTCCCTTGCATGAGTGAAGCACTATTGATTAGAAATGTATTAAAGTTTGAGATTATACGGGCATGAATCATCATCTGAGACTAGCTTATTATTTATACTCGTAGCAAATTTTGTACTACAGTATTCACTTCACGCTTTGTGTAATTTGTGAGGGGGTTTTGCTTTGAATCTGCGCTTGTTTAAAGATGTAAATTTATACATGTTAAACACAGGGTTCAGGTGTGAGCCCAGAGCCGTTTCAGGGAAAAATCCCCTTCAGTCACAGCACATGGCACACGCGGGTGACAAGATTTGTGCTTCTGTGACTCCATCACAAAGGATTAATGTTACAAAGTACAGGAAGGGAAATAGAAAGTGGAAGAAACTAAACTAGGAACTTGGAAAGTAGAGATATTTACAGCTCTGCTTATAGGAAGCACAGCACAAGAGAGACTGGATAAAGGTTATGTTGCTGTTGAAGCAGACTTGTATTTCCCCCTAGACCTACTTATTCTTGGCAAACAGTACTTGTTTCACATTGTCCAATAAACAGTGAGTTGGAGGTTTAAAGGTAAAGTTCTCTCAGTGACACTATCTATTGTATCGTCACTTCCTCCAAATGGCACAACAGGCTCAGCCAAAAGAGATTAACATTGAAATATCAAAGCTTGTGTACGAACAAGAAGTCTCACTTCAAACAGTAAACAGCGTAGTTGTGAGTCGTTGTCTTCTACATTTTTTGCTCAAAACATGTAGACTCTTCATTTAGTGAACTACCCTCAGAAGAGCATTTATTCCAAAATGTCATGAAGGATAATTCATACCAAGACGGTTACTATTTTTCGTCCAATATTTTGACTGAAAATATTTAGCGGAAACGGCTGCCCAGATATTTTGTACAGAATTTTCTGAAGACCTTTTCCTTTTTCATTATTACACAGCGAGCATCTAAACAAATTAAAGATAAAAAAAGTCTGTCTTCCTCCTTCCCCCTCCTGTTGGTTGTCAGCATGTGTTATTGATTTTTAGATCTGAAATACACTGAGCTCCTTCTTAGATCTGAGATAGTAAAGGAGTGGCTTTAAAACTAACATTGGTCTTTTGTGCAGCTGCCAAATAAAAAATGTATAAATGCTCGACATAGCTAGGCCATGAATAGACACTACAAAAATAAAAAAGGAGAAATAAAAGGCTTTATAGTGTTTTTTTTAAGTAAAAAAAGACTATCATGCCATCAAATTTTGTTTGTTTTATATAAAATATAAGACATTGTTTATTTCTATATGCAAAACAGATTTTAAAATGTATATTTTGGGGTGATCAGAAATTTTTTTTAGTAATTCATGCTTTTATTTATTTTAACCTAGGACGTCATAATTGCTCTGATCGCATCATGTCATTTTGAACAGTGGTCTAAGCCTATTAGACTCTCTTCCAAATGGAAAAGACAAGAGGATATCATTTTTGTAAGGCAGATTCATATTGATTCACGCAAGTGTGAGTAGTGGCTCCAGCTAATAAATAATAATACCACATAATACCTACTTGCCTAAATTTGCCCATATCTACAGTTACAACTGAATTTATTGACAAGGTTCCAGATTATTGTCACCACCACACAGCGAGAAAAATCTCAAAGATTTCTTCCACAGGAAAAAACGTTTCATCTTGTTGTTTCAAAGTCCATATAACAGCAATTTATTTACTTATCCTCACTTAAGGT